TAGTAGTAGTAGTAGTAGAGTAGTACGAGTAGTAGAGTAGTAGAGAGTAGAGAGAGTAGGAGGAGAGAGTAGGAGGTAGAGAGTAGTAGAGTAGAGAGAGAGAGAGAGAGAGAGAGAGAGAGAGAGAGAGAGAGAGAGGCATTGGTTAAAATGGTTTTAAGGTGGTTTTGGGCGTTAGATTATGATTTAATAAGTACACATTAATAAATGATGGTTTAGGGGCAGTTATGTGTGTATGAGAGAGAGAGAGGGGCACGCACGCAAGCATGGGTAAAAATGGTTTAAAGGTGGTTTTGGGTGTTACATTATGATTTAATAAGTACACATTAAAACCAGGAAAAAGTTTATATAGAGCCGAGGTTCTAAACTATCAAATTAGAGCCCATCTAAAAAATTTTACTAGAAGATGTTTTGATGCTCAAACATCTACAAATTGATCATTTAGACGTCAAGACGCATGGACATGAGGAAAACATAGATTTCAAGTTTTGGAAATAGCGTATCGTGCCAATCTTGAAGATTTTCAAGTTTTCATAGATCTGTTTGATCGATATTATTTTTAAAGTTTTAAATTTTATAAATAAAGATGAAAATGTATTTTAAGGCTACCCTTAACCACAACACTATTTGAAGGTGGGTTTCATTTTGATTGTTTAAAGCTTTGGCTCCATACAAACGGTACGCTTAAAACAAACATGATAGCTTAGGGCAATTATTCTTAACCAGCCATGTACTCCCATTTTATTTGATAGGCCATGTGAGCCAAATGAACTTAAAATTTATCAATTGGATGTATCTAATGGAATGCAATATACACTTACCTAGATTGTTACTTTCTTATCTTTGTTATCTTGTTACAATTTCTGAATTTTGTTTCTAGTTTCCTATGTTTAGTGCCAATGGTGTTGAAATAAGTTTGGCACTCAGTATACGAGCAGGATTAAGAAGATCTCATGCATATTTGCTTGGGGATAGCCACTTTTAATTTGTGTGAGTCCAATTGATCTTAGGAGTTTTGTGGGGTGAGAGATCTGAACATTTTATTATTAAGATTAGCCATTATAATTTAAAGGATGGTGCATAACTTTATCCAGTTTCCTAAACCTTTATCCCATAAAAAAAAAAGATAAAAAAAATACAAGATACAATTTATGTTGTAAAAAACTCTCTTCTTATTCATCTCTTTTAGAGTTCCTAATATCTTAATACTCACATAGCATATCTGGTTTTCAATTTGACTTGGTCAAACAAGATGTCAATATTTTAAAACATGCAACATGTCCATAAAAAGAGGACTACCTCTTAAGTGGGTTGTGCACACACGCTAATCCCAAAGAGGCAATGGTCCTCCCCACACATATTTAATTTTCAAAATACAATTTTGGTTTTTGGAATTTGTGAAATAGAATTTTATTTTTATCTGAATATTAAATATTGAAAATCGATTTTTTTTTTTAATTTTATAAATTCATTTTGTCAAAATAAAATATCCAAAAATATCTAAAAATTTAAATAATCATTCTAAAAATAAATTATTATAAAAAAAATATAATCAAATAATTTAAATGGGAATAAGATTCTTCTAAGTTTAAGATTTTAATTTATTTTGAAGCACTTCATCTTCTATTGTGGATTATAATCCACATTTGCTTTTTCAAATTGACCTAGTAGTTCTCATGATCTATAGATGGATTCACAAACTGGCCCAGCAGTTCCCATGACCCACAGACCAACGTAGTCATGATTGGGCTTTTAAAGTCAGCCAATAGGCAAGGAGATATTATCTCAATCTATGGATTTCAGGTTCTTCTTTATAGATGAATCCATTTGTTACAAAGACTAGATGTAACCACATCTTTATGGTGCATAAGGGTAGTCTCTCGCATATTTGCATGTTGCACCCTCAATAATGTATTGCTTTCCTACCACGACTATCATATGCATATGCTGTGTGATGGTCTAGTGATGAGGCTTTGACCCTCGTCTTTAGAGGTCAACCATCACACACAAGGGTCACATTGTCCCTAGGTTCATTCCTCTGCACAACTTTGACCTCATCAAGGGATAACCTGTAAATCCTCCTCGATTTTATTTTCATGCCCAGGTAAATAGGGGCTTTCCAACTTGATTGGTCTAACTCATAAAACTTAGTAGTATTGGCAAATAGCATTTGCCTATCTCGGTCTTTCTGGACCATAATCTCTTGGTCGCTCTGGACCATAATCTCTTGGTCCTTCAGGTTTATACTCCTAGTGGAGTTCTTGGTTCTGCTACATTAGATATTAATTGCATGCTCTCATAAGGCCTTTAATGGCCGCAGAAACCCTATATAAATAAGTCGGTCCCCGTCGATTCTCCGTCCATAATACCGATTTCCATCTTAGATCGGTGGTATGTAAAACACTGTCTCAAACAGAGTGATATGATCGTGCTTCTAGTACAAGTGATTGTTTAATACTATTCAATTGTTTTCTTTTCAAATTCTTAATCTTTATTTTGACGGTAACCATTGCATATTTTAGGGGTATGTTTGGAAGACAATTAATGTTATCCAGAATATACCATCTTGTCTAAATTAACATGATATAGATAATTTTATTTCGTTAGTTGTTCGATATGTATCTTAAATAATATTTAATTATTTAATATATTTTTAGTGATTTTCAACTACTTCGAGCTATTTGGCAAAAATATGATTTTCAGCAAATGAACAAAGTAAGAATATAACTGTTTAAAAACTCTTATAAGTTTATCTTGTATAAATTTATAATAGACGCTACTAAACAACAGATACTTTGTTATCAAAATTTATTTGATTAAACAGTAGATTTTTTGTTATAACAAGTACGTAATACGGACCCGAAGCTTTTAACATTGCCTCTCTCCCTTGTACCCTGAGGATCTTAAACAGAGAATCATCTGACCTGAAAAACTTTTTCTTGGTTAAATTTGCTAGGATCTGTCCTTACAATGGAGGACATTTTACTGTTGCGGTTAGAAAACATACCAGTTTTATTACTGGATAGAGTGGTACAAACTGGTGGAACACTGTAACCATGTATAATTCATTATAGAGAAAAAATAGGTAGTAAGTAGAAGAATAGTGCAAGAGAGAGGATCAAGTATTATGTAGAAACACAGTCCTAGAGAGAAAATAAAGTTACCCGACATAAATTCAACATAAATTATTTTGCTTGTTTGGCTCTGTCTTATTTGTGCGGACTGGGTAGTGGTGGTAGCACCTCCATACCTAGTCATCATGTTATGGTTTTTAATCTTATTGACATCATCTACTAACACTTCAAAAAGGAAAAAAAAAAAACCTACCAACACCTTTAAAAAAGCTAACTCCCTAATCTATACGAAAAACAGGGAAGGGGCTTGTCGTCCCCACTGAATTACCCAAAAAAAAAAAAAAAGACATAGATTGGAAATGCATTAATTTTTGTGTTAGCTTTCTAGGAATTGAAAGAATGACATTCTTTAAGCTCCCTAATGCTTTTTCCTTAGACCAAAATCATGGAAAATATTGAATTTAGAGATTTTCATAAAAAAGAAAATCATCATCATCATAGATCATCATAGCCTTTTTTTTTAATTAATTTAGATCGGCTACATGAATCTTGATATGTTATTATGTTTTATTAAGGGCATACCTTCAGGGAGGCTATAAGTTCCAATATCTTTTATCACTACTTCCAACTATGTCTTTTTGAGCTCACTTTTTACCATTTTTGAGCTTTCAATTTAAACTAACTCACAACTCCTAACAGATGTTGTACCGGGTATGCGTTAAAACTTATCATGAATCTTGAGCCTACAATATCAAAAAAAAATAAATAAATAAAAAAATTACGTGTTAAGAATGGCCCAAGTATCTACATTGAATATGACGATTCATTGTAGCCCGGTTGGGGACAGGCTAGGGTGATTCTCTAGAGAGAAAATAACATTGAGTTATAGGACTACTATTTAAAAAAAAAGGAGAAAAATTATAAAATTCAATTTTATAAAAATTCAAAAACTGGAAAATATCAAATTGTGAGTATCCATGTTTGTGGTCACCAATGAAATAACTAAAACCACCAATGAAATAACAAAAACACGTGAAACTTTATGTACACGTATTGATTCCGCTAAACTATGGAGGTATAGCAACTTAGTAAGAGAAAACCATGAATGTAGAGAGAAAAAATGGGTGGGAGAGAATCTCTACCCAAAGCTTCAAGCAAATTCCTATATTTTTAAAAGGAAATTATATAAAATGAGTGCAAAATGGCACACCCTAACTGACGTAATTGAAAGTTTACCGGCAACCAATATTCAACAAATACAGCTAAATTTTAGAGAGACAAAATTTGAGAAGTAATCTACCATAAGAAAGCACTCACGTAGGGATCTTAGCCTCACCACACACTATAGGTACAAAGAGAAGAAAAACCTACAAGAAGGTGCTCTCAATCTTTTCTATTAGAATCTCAAAATACTGTAGAGAACTCTTTGTATATTGATTGATAAAGAATATACAAGACCCCGTATAAATATATAGCTAATAACAGTTCTCGATAAATACCAACAGTTATTGATAATTACTAACTAATCTTATTATAATCAAAAGATGTCTAAACACCTAATTTTATCAAAAAATATATACCTATACATATACATATCCATACTGATATGTATCTGTAATGATGTATATCAATACGAACATGATACATATCCATACGTTGCACTTCTTTCAAATTCAATATGCTTTGACACAAAGCAACTGGAGTTTGAACAATACTAAGTTGTAAAAATGAGTAGTGATCTCCAAATGCATAGCGTGGTCAAGAGAAGCAGTAGTTGCCATGCTCAGATTGCTTGACCAAGCAGAAGCAGTAGTTGCCATGCTCAGATTGCTTGACCAAGCAGCACAAAAGCTGCAAACCTTAGAAACAAACAACCTCAACATTCTTTGTGTGTATGTGGATTTATAGGAACCAGTTGGGTCCAACCCGATCTGATCCCATAAAGTCTTAGATAGACCTAGACCAAGGCACAACAATCCCAAGTTGGGTTTGTTGAGGATTAATGTCTTGTATTATGAGGAAATAGATCTTCAAAGGTGGAGTAAAAAAGACGACTCTGGAGGGCCATTAAAAGCCCGAAGGGCTTGAGAATTTGGATATATCTGTACATAAGATTCGATATATCTGGAACTTAATATATATCCATACAAGGGTATTTCGGTAATATGTATTCGATATATCTGGGACTTAATATATATCCATATAAAGATATTTCGGTAATTTGTACCATTTATCTGAGACTCGATATATATTGTTGCGATTGGGGGTTCATCTAGGGTTAAGGGCAAAACGCTGATTGCTTTGTAATCAGAGAGACGTGAGGAAGAGAGCTTTCGTAACCCTATTCTCCATTGTCAGTAAAGAAGTTCTCATATCCCGTGGATGTTGGCACGCTGCCGAACCACGTATATCATTGCGTTGTGGTTGGTTGTCTCTTTCTTTTGTGTTTTGTTTCTTCTTTCTAGTTTTCGTTCATTGCTTTTCGTTTCTACAGGGTCAACCCCTTGGGTCGAATGGTTGACCTGATTGCCATTGCTGCACACTTGTTTGTCCAAAGACGTTATAAATCAAATTTGGTTTATATGTGAAATCTCAAATATATTTGGAAGGAAAAGTATACAGTCAGTCTATTAATCTTTGGTACAAGGTGGTCATAAGTAATCTTATATATTGAATGTGAAATGAGATAGTTGCATTCAAAAAGAAAGTTTATCGAACTTTATGACACACGCAAACTATCAGTTATTACATCGGATGGTTGCAAATAATTATGACATCATTGTATCAAAAGTAAATGATCTCATTGTATACAATCCCTATTTGGAAACTCAGGTATTAGGTTTGGTTATTTATGGGAACCTTGGGCGCTAAATGGAGTCCATAGTTGTGATAGAAGACATATCCTAACTTCCTAAAGTTTATAAGGAAAATTATAGATGCATCTTAAAATAAACTTTGTAGACATCCTACCTCCCAATACTTTTAGAATCATACTTTCATCCCTAACACTAACACTGTTTTTTCTTGTTTTTACCTCCCAGTTAAAAAGTCAACATATTTGATAATAAACTACACTTCCCCTCTCTCTCTTTACCTCTTTGCCCGCCTTCTCTTTCTTTCTCTCGCTACCTGCCCTCTTTCTCTCTCTACCCATGGGTAGAGAGAGAAAGAGGGCAGGTAGCGAGAGAAAGAAAGAGAAGGTGGGTAGAGAGAGAAAAAAAGAAGGCGAGTAGAGAGCTAGACTGGGTAGAGAGAGAGAAAAGGTAGTTTGGTCTCAAATATATTGACTTTTGACTAGGGGCTAAAAGCAAGACAAAATAATATTGAGTTTGAGAGAGTGATGCTAAAAATATTGGGGGGTGGGATGTCTATAAAATTAATTTTCCTAAGTTTTTACATCAATTTTTATTCAATCTAACCGCTTCTTAACTCTTCCATTCTCTTTCCTAAAATCCCTCTCTATTCAAAACTTACCACTCTCCTTCCTCCCCCTCTCTCTCTCTATCTCAATATCTCTCTCCCTCTCTCCGTTATCCTCCTATCTCTCTGTATCTCACTCCCTCTATCTCCATATCCCCACTCTATATCTCTCTATATCTCACTCCCTCTATCTCCATATCCCCACTCTTAGGCTTTTCGCCTCGCCCTAGTGGTGAACAACCCTGTTTCATTGAGGGAGGCCATGGTTCAAAGTTGAAACCCTTTTGAAATCTCTCCCTTAGCCAAAACTAAGCTGGGTAGAGTCTTGCGCCCCATTTTTTTTGACTGCACCATTGGATTTAGGGTTGGCAATGGGTCCAGCCGCCTTGCCGGCCGACCCCAGAAATGCCCGGGCTTGGCCCGCAACTTGCCATGAGGGTATCGTACTGTAGGTGTAAAGATCGTTTGTCAAGTCTGTTTCCTTGATATTTACCTAAAAAAGAGAGAGTGTTTCTCGAGGTCTGGGAGAAGTAAATAGAGGTTGTTGTCGTAAACTTACTCTCTAAAATTTTGTCAAAAAAGCAAAGATTAAACCTTTAGGGCCTGCATGGCGTGGTACATAATAGAAAACCCAGCATTTATGGATACTCAGATTTCACATATGCAATGGAGACCCTATACATTTTGTCGTAGCAAATAAACGTACTAAACGTAAATTTTTTTTGGTCGACCATAATTGGCACTTGGTTTCTTCGAACGCGTTATTTCCATGTGCTTGAAAAATTAATGATGGCATGTACTGAGCTCGAAAATATAGAGTTATTTTCGTGTTCTTGCAAAATTAATGATGGCATGCACTGAGCTAACATATATAGGGGAAGTGCCATATGACCTTAACAGAAGCTATGGTTGAAAATTGTGCCCAAATAAATGGATGCTCCTGTGCAATGATTATATTTGTAATCATAGATTTCTTTCTTTGTGTAGTTCAGTGGTAGGATCGGAATCCACACCTATACAATCGAGCCCAAGCCCAAGCCCAAGCCCGAATGGTTTACCATAGATTTCGTATGATCCCAAAATTACACTCTTCACCAAATTCAATTCCGTGGAAAAATGGAAAGCTTTGAAGTTAAAAGAAGTGCAAATTGGGCTTGGGCATGAAGGATCAGATTTTGAAGATTGCAATATTATATCTCAAGTATGATTCCTGCTGCTGAACTCCCTCCTTCCCCCAAACCCCCAACACACACAAAAAAAAAAAGAAAAAGAAAAAAAGAAAAGAAAAAAGAACTCACGAAATGCTCCTAGTTACTTCCCTTCAATGACCGATTTCGAACCATCTATTTGAGGGATGATCAGATCTAGGGTTCGAAGTGCTACTATGGGAATTAACATAGTGTAGCTTTGTAGAATATCCTCATTTCCTTTTCCTACCTAAAGAAATATGCAAAAAATCTAAACATAAATCGATCTCCAAAGCAATGAATTTGAAATTTTGCTCGATTACCATCTGGTGAATTGGGAAACCTCGCAAAAATGTCACCCTAACCATTAAATTACAATTTTCCTAGTACATATTAGGTCGAAGAAATTGATTGAAACGCAAAACTACAATTCTTAAATCTCAAAATAGTTTTGAGTGTCTTGTTCTTGCACTTGTTCCTCACTAGCATGGCTGATTCTTCTTACCTGCCAAACCTTTAGAACCCCATCAACACTTCCACTGTATACTTTACAACCTCGGCCACCACTGTCGTCGTTATTGTCATTGTTGCCTTCATCACCATCATCACCATCACCATCACCATCACCATCTAAAACGGCTACGAGGCACTTAACTGGGCCTATGTGGCCTTCTAATACACCCAAACAAATATGAAAGTTCTCTCTATCCCTGTACCAAACCCTAATTGTTGAATCTGCTGAGCCACTAACCACAAATTGACCCACACAAGCTAAACACATGACTACATGTTTGTGCCCTCTTAGAACACCACCAAATTGCATTTGGCCCGAGAAACAAGCCCTTACCCAAAAGTGAACATAACCATCTGAGCAACCAGCGTATAGCTGAGTGCCTCTTTTGCCTAAGGCTAGGGCTTTTACCGGTGAGACTTTGACGAGAAGGCTCACAGCAAGGCAGTGGCGCCGCTTCTCGCTATAGCTTCGTCTCCATACCTTCACCGTTGCATCGTCTGAGCCGGTGAATACTATGCCATCTCCACCTAAAGTGAATGTAAAGAATTATTAACCCGAATACTCAAAACTGAAACAAAAACACACACTATATACCACAAAATAACACACACATACGCACACAAAAACTTATTATGAACAAAATACATACACCACATACACAAACACCCCCCTCAATTTTTAGTTTTACAACAAAATAAAACCCACAAACACACACAACTTGTTATGACAAAGAAGACACACATTGCCATAGCTGGAGACACCCACTCTGCAGTGAGAGAGTTGTCTTGGTTCTGAACCTTTTCTATGGCCCATTTTGAGAAATTAAAAAACTGATGTACTTTTTTTTTTTTTTTACTGATAATATTGAGCTGATATGAAAAAAATTCACCAAAATTCCTTCACACACACACACACACACGCACGCACACTCTCTCTATCAATATATTATCTCTCTCTGGAAAAAGAGAAAAAAAATGAACCTAATGCAATGGCATTCACAGCGGCTTTATGTGCCTCAATGGTCTCAATGCACCTCAAATCTGATATCCTCCAAACCCTAACCGTCTTATCGACTGAAGCCGAATAAAGAAGATTGTCGAATGTGTTCACCGCCAATGAAGTGATCGCCCCCAAATGTTTAGCTGAAGATGTCTGATGATCTTTATGAAAATAACTACTGAGCTTCAGACCAACTTTGCGGCGCCCAACCGGGAAATTTTCCAGCGACCTATGCCATATCCTTATCTTCAAGTCTGTATAGGCTGCAAACACATGGTCTCTAGAGAGAGAAAGTGCTCTAACACCTGAACAACCAGCTTTTAAACACCCATGTATAGTGAAATCAGGTAGCTTCCATATTCTGATGGACTTGGTTTCAGTGCCTGTGCAAACATAACCATTAGACACATCTAGAGAGAGAATTTGGCCATCTTTTTGTAGGAGAGAGGAGATACACCTCGTGTAGGCTCTTGTCCCTTGTTCTTTGAAGCGAACGGGAGGTGGGCTTTGGTGCAGTGACTGAGAGGGGGAAGCTGTGCTGAAACGGGGAGGAGAGAGAGCGAGTTTTGAGAAAGAGGGCTCGTTGGAGGAGAGACTTCGGTACAAGTGGTCTCTATGGGTGGTTAGAGAGAGAAAGTGGGTTTGCAATGATGGGTCTTCCATGAAGAGAGTCTAGAGAGAGAAAGTGGGTTTTGTGGGTGTTCCTAAAATGGTGAAACCATGAAACATAGGTGGGTTTTATAGGGCATTCATGGAGAAATGGGGTAAGTGAGAGAAAGAAAGTAATTTGAAACAAGTTACCCGCCCACATTCATGGAGAAATAGGGTACCTTAAGTTTTATTAAAAATGCACTTAAAGTCTCTGTCACAATTCATTGAACTCCCCCTCCCCCTCCCCCTTCCCCGATCCCTTTCTAGGGCATTCATGGTGAAATAGCGTAAGTGAGAGAAAGGAAGTAATTTGAATTCATGGAGAAATAGGGTACCTTAACGTTTTTCTTTTTTTTTTGTTAGAAAAAGTTTATATAAGGTTGGGATCTTAATACGTGGAATCAAAGATTCACCTAAAAAATCCATCATAAAAAGTTGTTTAGATATTAGAAAACCTTCTAATTGATCATCTCCGATACATGAATATGAAAAGAAAAAGAGATTTCAAGTCTATGAAATAGTGTATCTTGCTACATGTTATCTATCTGGATCGTCCATTCTCAAGATTTTAATGTATTTTTAGGTAAATTTGATTTGAACTATTTTTAGAGTTTAAAAATTTATAATTAAAAATAAAAATAGATTCTTACGCTATCCTAAAATTTTGTTATGTCAAAATTACATTTATGGTAAAATTTAGAGGTACACTTTAATTGGATTATTTAAGGTTACAACCTTATGCAACCACACCCTTTTTTTTTGGGTTAATTCAGTAGGGAAGACAGGCCCTATCCGGTTTTGCAAGTAGATTAGAAGTTAATTTTTTTGAAGGTGTTCGTAGGGTGGTGTTAGTGGTAGCCAAGATTCAAAACATTGACTCAGTCATTGTTAGCAAAAACGCCCGATCTAATCGCTAACAGTCCGGTTAAATCGGAACTAGTCATTGCCCGGTTCCGGTTTTGGGCGGTTAGGGTGATAAATTGGTAATTAAAAATAGAAAATGAAATATATATATATAAATTCTCAAAAATAAAGAATTTGATTTGTAATGCATTTTTAAATATTCTTATATTACAGTAAAGATTAAAATTGTTTTTGTCAGTAATACTCACTTTTATATTGTCCAATCTTTTTTAGAAAATTCTAAAAATAGCCATTGGGAAATATAAAATGGGTTAAAATTTATTTTTTAAAATTAATTTTCAACTTCATTTGAATGTGTTTTGTTTTAATCATTCTTTCTATGCTTTTCATATTGTAGTAGATTTTTTTTTGTAACTTTTTTTTGTTTTTTCAACCCTTTTTTTACTGCCTGGGACTTGCCCGATTAGAGAGGTTGAATAGGCCGATTTACCGGTTAGGCCAGTTAAACCGCTTTCAAACCCATATTCGGTTAACCGTTCCGTTTCGATTTTGTGAACACTGGACTCAACCAAGATACTCGGGCCTGGCCGAGAGGATTTACTCGGCCGAGTCATGCTTTTTTTTTTTTAAAGAAAATCACGTAATATAATTGAATATATACAGCGCTCGCTAGTCATCACCCGCGGGATCCACTCTGCTCCTAACCCTTTTTTTTATAATTTCTTTAGAGCAAATAAAAGTCACTGTCTATATTAACCCTTTTTTTTTTTTCTTTGGAGCAAATAAAAGTTACCATCTATATAAAATTGGACGCCACCATTGCATATTGCAACTAATTTGTGACAAATTGATTTGTACCCATGATTTTTACCTCCAAAGAGTTTGTGAGTTCCATTTTTTTTTCTTTAGTGTAAATAATTTCTTTAGAGCAAATAAAAGTTACCGTCTATATTAACCCTTTTTGTTTTTTTTTTCTTTTTTCTTTAGAGCAAATAAAAGTTACCATCTATATAAAATGGAGGCCACTATTGCATATTGCAATTAATATGTGGCAAATTGTTTGTATATATGATTTTTACCTATGGGTGGTATATTTTTTTAACTCTATTTTTTCATGGATTTATTTTGTAGTTCTTTTTTCTATACCTCTCTTAAAAAATATATTTTAACTCTATATTTCTTACTGGCTTGGATTTATTTTTTTAACTCTATTTTTCTTAATAGCTTGGTTTTATTTTGGAGTTGTTTTTTTGATAACTCCCTTAACAAATATATTTTTTAACTTTATATTTATTAATGGCTTGGATTTTCTTTGGAACTCTTTTTTTCATAACTCTCTTTAAAAAACAAACAATTCCATAACTCTCTTTAAAAAAAGTCTTACTTCTCGTGAATCTATAGGAGGTCTTGAGTTCGATTGGGGGTATATATATATTTTTTGGAACTCTTTTTATCTTAACTCTTTAATTTTTTTTTCTTACATCTCGTGAATTCTAAAATAAGACACCTCGTTTTTTCATAATTGGTACTTTTTTTGGAGCTCATTTTTTTTCTGCTAATTTTTTTTGAACTCCCTTATCTTAACTCTTTTTTTTTTTTTGTTTTTAAATCTGCAACATTTACTTTTGGAATTAATTAAATATGATTAATTTTAATATTTTATCTTGTTCACTAAAGATTTAATTAAATATTATTAATTTTAATAATTTCTCTTGTTCAATCGACATTGAAGCAAAAAAAGCAAAGCAATTTATTTCAATATCCTTTTTTTAAAAAAATAATCAGAACATTATTGTTGAGAAATTAGAGAGAAATATAGGGGTTTCCAATTTTTTTGCTAGTTCTATGATGCACGAAATCAATTTTTATTTTAGCAAAAAACCACGGATCTATATAAGGCTTTTGAAGATGATTTCAAAAGCTTCAAAACGAACTAAAAATCACAAGAAATCATTGAGTAATTGGAGAGAAATAATAGAGTTGGCGATTTTTTCACAAATTATCAATGAAACCTCTTCAATGCAAGAAATCAGTCGACAATGGCGAAAAACTATGTAAAGGGATTTTGAAGCTGATTTCAAAATCTTCAAAGCAAGCCAAACATCTTCTGATTTGGTGAATAAATTAGCAACAACAACGAGTTTTGGTAGAAATAAAAAATTTCACAAATATAACCCCAAAACCGAAAAATTTCAGTAATTAAAGGTTATAAATATGCAAATCAGCAGAGGGCTTTGTAGATAACTTCAATATATTGAAAAAGAACCTGGAATCAATCAATTTCATGGAGAAATAAGAGAGAACGGAAAAGATTGGTGGATTTTGTATTGATGAACGAAGAACCCTAAAAACCCAAATTTTTAGTGATAAATTCTAGTTCGATTTGGGTTTTTATGAACCCAAATCATATCATAAAGATAATATTATTGTTAAAAATTAGAAATGTTATAGAAATTAGTTTTTATATTAACTGCTCCCTTTCACACATCTCCTAGACCACACATTTTCGGCCTAGTCCCTTGATACTCTTTCAATAATAATGTTAAAACCAATGGTTTAAAAAACGGATCGGTGACCCAGATCGGGTTTCCAAAAAAGCAATTGGGATCGGTGAATCGGCGATCCGGATCAAGAATCGGTCATATTAAAGCTTAAAAAAAATCCGAAAAAATTATTAAAATTCATTATAAATATTGTTTTTTAGGAATTCAATAAGAAATGAGGGTACTCCGTTAAGAATTTTTATGTTTTTTAATGAATATGCGAATATTGATATGTTCTTTCCCTGCATGAACCGCCATTCAGCATTTAATTTACATCACACAAAAGGATAAACAGATAATTATCATGGAATAAGTATATCAACATACATGGACTACAATAAAGCATAAAATTAGTAACATATGATCTAAAAATAAAATGATAGACGACGTTATTGTTTTTCTTGATCACGCTGATGCCATTGATTGAATTCGTTTAACAATTCATTGATTCAATCTAAAAACGAATCATCGATATTAGCAGGCGTCTGACTATTCCCAAATCCCTGAGTGTTAGTGTTTTGTTGTATTCCCAATCTAAAATCCCTGAAGATTGTCCATCCTTTATGCTCACCTGCATTGTCGTGCTCATCCTTACATTGTTGCTAAATAATATGGCTGGGATAGGGTGGCCTCAGAATCATCATCTCTCTCATTTTCTCTTTGAATAATATGGATTAAAAAAAAAAAAACAAATTTTCAACAAAATCGATCATAGATTAAAAAAAAAAATCACAAATTTTCAAAAAATTCTATCATGGATTACAAAAAAAAATTTGATCATGGATTAAAAAAAGAAAATCACAAATTTTCAAAAAATTCTACCATGGATTACAAAAAAAAATTCGATCATGGATTACAAAAAAAACAAACAAAAAAAAACAAACAAAAAAAACAAAAAATTCAATCGTGGATTACAAAAAAAGAAAAAAACAATTCGTTCATGGGTTACAAAAAATTCAATCATGGATTACAAAAAAATCTATTATGAGTTACAAAAAAAGCAAAAAACAAAAAATTCGATCATGAATTACAAAAAAAAAACAAACATTTCGATCATGGATTACAAGAAAAAAAAAACAAACAATTTCGATCATGGATTACAAAAAATTCGAATCATGGATTACAAAAATTCTATCATCGGTTACAAACAAAAAAAAAACAAAAAAATTACGATCATGGATTACAAAAAAATCGATCAAGTATTACAAAAAAATCTATCATGGATTACACCAAAAAAAAAAAAAAAAAAAAAAAAAAATTACCGTACGGGACTCGCCGATTCGCTGTTCGGACTCATCGATTCCGTACAGTGAATCTGCGAGTCACTTTACAGAATCGTCCGGTTCTCTCTAGAACCGGACGATTCCCGTTTTTTTCGTCGATTCGATCCGTCCATGGTTATTCCCGAGTCGAACCGGGCGAGTCCGGTTCGACTAGGCGTTTTTTTAAACACTGGTTAAAACAATTACAAATTACTCTTTCAGCTACCACCATGGAAGAAAATAGTTCTGTTTTAGATTAAAATAACCCTCATGTCTAAACCTACAATTCTCTATGAAAAATTTAGAATATAAATTTTTAGAGAGAGAAACTGTCTGAATTTTTTTTGAAAGAAATTATCTCAACTTTTAA